CATTTTTTTTTCTTGCACACATTTGTAGAATAAAGAAATAGTCAATTTTCCTGGCTTTTTAAATTTCCTTCAAATTCATAACAGCAGTGGATAAGTTGTTGCCCTCTGCTGACAGGAATAACAATAAACTGAAAATGACTAAAAATACATTTCATCTTAATAGAAGTAAAGAGCAGATAAATTAAAGGTGTGCTGCTACCATTCATTTCTGTGTCTTTGATCTCTCCACCCTTTCTAAAAGCATATAGATTCAAATGAACTATAAGCAAATTTTACTTTTTTTGGAGGTTGAGTGAAATTTGATCTCATGTTGAGGATAGAACATAAGTAGATCAAAGGTGTTTGAGAACTGCATGCTGATTGGAATACATTTGGCTGCAGAGTATTTGACTTCCATTCACTAGTAAGATGAATTGATACACGGAAGTGTTTCTGATATCTTTACTGTGATGTGAAGACTGAGCATCAGCTGGCATTATTCATGTTTGCTAATAGAATAGTGAGAGAGGTAGGTGGTGGCTTAGTAGGGGGGGGGGGATAGTTTATTACTGAAAACGCGTGTGTAAGTGGATTCTTTGCTCATAGTTCACATACTTTGCAGGGTATTAGACTCCTTGGTCTTGCCGTAGAAATATTGCTCGTCTTACATGACGCTCCTGTTACATTATTGTCGTTACGTCAAAGAGTGGCTTGGCCAGTTGACAGGATGTAAGCCATCGGAAATTAAGAGTGCAGGTGTGTTTAAGAAAATGATAATTGATTCCTGCATTGAAGCAGAGGACATCCTGTAATGACCATTTCTCATTCTCTAAAATTTGTAAGGTTAAGCAATCATTTGAGAGATTTGGCTTTTTCATGGAGGTTTTTGTTGATGTTGGTATTCTGGGTACTAACATGGCGTTACTACCCAGAAAACAAACATTGGTAAGCTATCAATTATTCTTCATCCCAAAATGGGGGAAATGATGCGAACAGTTGAAGAGCTGGATACATGAAGTACAACAGAGGCACAAATCCCTTAAAATAAAATTCATAAACATTTTTGACTTCAGCAGTTGGTAGTAACATTACCATCACACGTGTAGACACCATAATGGTTATTGTTTAAGGACCAGTTGAATATTCTGTAGTCTTCTTTACTTTGGAGAATAGGTGGCATAATGTACTTCTGTGAACTGCCAGATATAAAGAACATGAGAAGTAAAGTCACTAGTATAGTCAGTGAAAAATTCATCTGGCTTAAGATAGGGACCAGTGGTGGGCTCTTGTGAACCCTGTAATGAACCTTTGGGTTCCATAAAATATTCTGAATTCCATGAGTGGCTGTTGGCTTCTCAGGAAGCACTTGGCTCCATGGAGTAATTAAGTGTCGGTAAAAAGTTAGGAATCGAAGGTGTCAGAAAAGTTCAGCATTTTACAGAAATGTATTACTAAGTACTTGGTGGTGCTGATCAAACTTTTCTCCTTATAATGAAGTTCTTGTAAGCTGTGATTGTATTTTTGCTGTTACAGTAATGATTTTGATAGCTGTTAGAAGAAAATCTGTATTAAACAGGTATTATCAACTTCATGCAGTATGTGTGTTCTATTTCATTTAATGAAAATTTGCAGTAAGTATTAATAATGAGTGTGGTGATTGGTGGTTTCACAGAGTTGTGCCAGTTTACAGAAAATTGTATCCAGTTCATGTAGTGAAACAGATCTTACAACTTCTCATGGTGGAAATCAGGTCGTCAATATAAAAGTTGAAAATGTAGCAGATGTACAAGACAAGGAGGAAGATCCCCTGATAACAGAATTTCCAATAATAAAGGCAGAGCATGAGGTCAGTTTTATGTCTTTGTGTACATTTCAAGGCACTTTGTAGAAATATGTAGGATTAACTATTGCTTTTCTCATCACCGTCTGTCTCCACGTGAAACACTTTGGTCATTCGGCTTTAAAGAGCTTTTTCCAAAATGTTTCAAGAGTCTTGTATGATGTGACATCATGTTTGTGCGCTACTACTACCGTTTTGTCTTAAGTTGGTTTCAAGAAATTAAATTGATGAATGTTTATCATTTGATATTACATCCTATCATTGGATTTATTATAAGAGTTCCCACAAAGTATGAATGTTTCAAAGTTGTCATTTGTTACTTCTGTAATTTTTTCCAAATTCTTATCCACATATTAGTTGTAACTGGAGTTCAGGATATTTATCTCCTTCAGTAGGGAAGATATACAGGTATGATTTAACTGACTTATAAAAAGTGGGATTTGAGGTTTTCACGGCTGTGAGTTCGAAGACGGCCGTCTTCTAGGTTGTAGCGCCACGTAGTCTGGTGGAAGTTTTCTCATCTCCCTGATACTGTAGGCAGCAAGGACCTCTGAAACATTGATAAACTTCTACCAGATTTTCGTACAGCACATGACATTGTCACATTTCTCATCTCTCGGAACTTTTGTGTGAAATGGGGTTGTCAAATACCATTTTGTCCTGAAGATATTTGGCATTAGTTTCTGGAGAGCTATTCTGTTTCTGAAGCCCTGCCTTTATGATATTCGACTTTTAAAAATTCCATGGTGGTATCTGCTGTTGTACATTCTGTGTCCTCTTTTACATTTGTATTTGACAAGTAAGGAAAGTATCAAGTGAAGCCTTTGCGGTAACTAAAGTTGATGAAAGACTCTCGGGTTACAAGCCGCATCAGGTGGCTGAATTGTGAATAAACCATATCTTCTGCCAATGTTTCGAGAGCAATCTCTGCTCTTATCCTCAGGGCTGCTGTGTAACAAATCTGATCCTTTGTAGCGCGCTTGCCGATGGGAACTCAGTTGGCAGAAGATATGGTTTATTCACCATATATCTGTCTGATGCGGCTTGTACCCCGTGAGTCTTTCATCAAGAAAAGTGTCATTCATCATAATTATCTTTTATTTATAATTTTGCAGCAGAACATTGAATTCATCAAAGTGGAACATGATTTGGGTGTTCTGAGTGAAGACAATTCCACTAGCATGGAAACTGACGAGCTTTGCGTACCACCGCCATTTTCCATAAAAATGGCTGAACCTGAGGTGAGCGTCTACTTTTGTGGTTGTTGAAATGTGCAATAGAACAAATTAGAAGTATGATTAGCATTTCAGAAAAAGCTGACAATAATTTGCATGAACAGAATATTTTCACCTTTGAAAGATATGTAAAGAAACAACATTCTGCAGCTTCATAATTTGTGTCTGGTGTGCTCCCATACACATTCATTCTAGTAAGAACAATATCAAATTGCAGGGTTTGAATTGTGTAGTGTTATTATATTCATTATCTTAATTGACTGTGTTATAATGTGTGTGATTCAGAGTTAAAAATAAAGTAAAGCTGTCACACTATACACCATGTACGAGGTGCGATCGGAAACTTTCCAGACTGTGTCAATAGAGGGCGAACCGGATGTAGTACGAGCTTCTGCCTTTAGTGGGTGCAGCCTACATTCATATTGAATCGGTGTGCCAGCCGGCATCATCGAATTATCATTTGTTTCTTAGTTACGGGCGTTTTGGTAGTGCATTACACCGACCCTCCTGCGATTTCGGAATGGCGTGTGCATCAAATTTTGCCAAAGACTCGCCAAAACGGCTACGGAAACCTATGAAATGCTAAAGCAAGCATTTGGGGAGTCCGCAAACTTTTGTGTGGCATTCACGTTTTAAAAAGGGCCGAACCCCTGTCGATGATGACGAGCATTCTGGACGACCATCTTCGAGCACAACGCCCGAAAAAGTTACGAAGATCGACGTCGTACCATCAACGACTTGTGCGACATTGTTGGGACCTGTCAGCTGATTCTAAAGGAAGAACTCCACATGCGACGCATCAAGACAACGCGCCAGCGCACACCGCCCTCAAAGTTCGGCAGTTTTTGGCCTCAAACACCATGGCCGTCATCCCGCACCCTCCTTATTCGCCGTGTGACTTCTTCCTCTTCCAAAAGATGAAAATTCAGCTAAAGGGAAGGAGATTTGAGACGATAGAAGAGATTCAGGCAGAATCGCAGATGGTGCTTGACAGGCTGACAAAGAAAGATTTCCAGGGATGCTTCCAGGCTTGGCAGCGGCGCTGGGATCGTTGTGGAGGAGGGGAGAGGAGGTACAGCTCCTACTTCTTCTTAACCTTGACACTAAAAGGAGGTGAGTGGTCAGCATTACGCCCCAGCCGTTCTTTACCCCCGGGAAAGGACCCTGTTGCCCATTGGATAGAAGGCTGCGTGGGCCCCAGAGCCGGTCTGGACGCAGAAGCTAGAGGAAAAATCCTCTGCTTCTGTCGGGGATCGAACCTTGGTCGTCCAGTCCATAGCCAGTCACTGTACTGGCTGAGCGACCCCTGTTAATATTTGATTCAGAATACATAATAATATTAAAAGAAATTTGCCTCCCAACAAGTGTAAATAGAATCCAAATACAAAATGGCTGTCTTTTGGGTTGTTGTGCTGTGTTGTCTGGTAGAAGTTTCAAATGTTTCAGAGATCCTTGTTGCTGGCATCATCTCCCCGATTTTCATTAAACCCAGAATAATTCATTGTACAGTATATCGCCAAATATTGTCATTTAAAACTTCTGTGTCTTTTTGTTAATGGACTATACATTTTAAGTGATTTCTTTGTGTAAAACAGTTACCGTCACATTGACGCAGTGCATAATTAGTGTAAAGAATGTGTATCATATTTGACGTAATGAGAGAGTACAGTCGTGATTGTAATGGTTGTTTTACAGAACTGCTGTGATTTACCAAAAGTTGCACCTGGTTCATACAATGAAACACGTGTCACATCTTCTCATGATGGAAACCAGTTCGTCAATATAAAAGTTGAGGATGTCGTAGATACACAAGAAGACGAGGAGGAGGAGGATCCTCTGTTAATAGAATTTCCAGTAATGAAGTCTGAAAATGAGGTCTGTAAGAATATCATTAGGCATATTTCATATAAAATGGTATTTTCTTTCTCATTTCGTCTGTCTCTTTCCACATGAAACAGTTTGACTCTGGTGAATGGGTTTTGAAAAGTCTTTTCTAAAATGTCATGAATGGGAATGTATTTTTTTGTTCTTTGTTTGCAGAGTACCAATTATGTTTTGTCTTTACATTTTGAAGGCATACATCAGTGGTAAGCCAAGCTTAAATGTCCACTTTGCAGTACCTAGATGAAACTGGGAGTGTAGTTTCTTGTTTCAACTTTAGTGATTAAAATGGCAATTTTTCAATTATTAATTACATTGCACTCAGAAACATTATGAGGGTTTATGAACACAGTAGTCATTACATGAAACCATTATCCTTTGAAATCCTTGCTAATCACATCCATGTGTTTAAATTGTTGGTCCAGCTGGCCCTTCTTGATGTTTCCTGGATTGCAGGATGCCGTAATGTCACCTCGAATTCAAGGTTGAAGTAAGGTATCAAATAGAAGACATGGGTTCAAGTAGAAATGTTTTGATTTACCTTTCATAAATCACTGTAAAATAACTGTTTCAAATGGAATATTGGGCATGTGATTTGTATAGCCTTTACACGATAGCATAGACTCATTAATGGTGAGAAATGGAGTTCGTAATGAAAACAGTGTAATGTAATATTTCTTGGCCTCATTTATATCTTGCTTTTATAATTTTTTTTTCTATTAACCTGCTACCTGATGTCCGTGTTTTGTGTTTCACAGAGTCCTCTGAATGAACGTCATCTAATACATGGTGAGGATGAATGCATACACCACAGGGAACGTCCATATTCCTGTGATCTGTGTAATAAGTCTTTCAGTCAGGTGAATCATTTGAAGCTACATCAACGAATACACAGTGGGGAACATCCATATTCATGTGATGTGTGTGATAAATCATTCAGTTGGAGGAGTCATTTGAAGATACATCAGCGCACACATAGTGGTGAGCGGCCTTATTCCTGTGATATGTGTAATAAATCGTTTAGTCAGAGAAGTCATTTGAAGATACATCAAGGCATACATAATGGGGACAAACCATATTCTTGTGATGTGTGCAATAAATCCTTCAGTCGCAGGAGTCTTCTTAAGAGACATGAACGCACACACAGTGGGGAGCGGCCATACTCCTGTGATATATGTGATAAATCATTTAGTAGTCAGAGTTATCTGAAGACACACAAACACATGCACAGTGGGGAACAGCCATATTCCTGTGATGTATGTAATAAATCATTCAGTCACATGAGTATTCTGCAGGTGCATCAACGCATACATAGTGGGGATCGGTCATATTCCTGTGACGTTTGTAATAAATTTTTTAGCAGAAAGAGTCAGGTGAAGATCCATAAACGCATACACACTGGAGATCGCCCATACGCTTGTGATGTGTGTAGTAAATCGTTCAGCCAGAGAAGTCAGCAAAAGGTACATCAACGCATACATAGTGGGGAGCGGCCTTATTCCTGTGATGTGTGTAATAAGTCATTCAACAGAAAGAGCCATCTGAAGCTCCATCATAGCATACATATTTGAGTTAATTGCAGGGAGCTGTCATATTCATGTGATGTGTGTAGTAAATAATTTAATCTGGTGAATGCTCTGATGATGAATCACACACATTGAGTTTCTTCATATGCCTGCCATGTGATCATTTATTCAGAGAAGTAATCTGAAGATACATGAAGACATATTGGGGAGTGGGCATATGCCTGTGATACATGTACGAGGTGCGATCGGAAAGTTTCCAGACTGTGTCAATAGAGGGCGAACCGGATGTAGTACGAGCTTCTGCCGCTAGATGGTGCGGCCTACATTCATAGTGAATCAGTGTGCCAGCCGGCATCATCGAATTAGCATTTGTTTCTTAGTTAACGGGCGTTTTGGTAGTGCATTACATCGACCCTCCTGCGATTTCGGAATGGCGTGTGCATCAAATTTTGCCAAAGACTCGCCAAAACGGCTACGGAAACCTATGAAATGCTAAAGCAAGCATTTGGGGAGTCCGCAAACTTTTGTGTGGCATTCACGTTTTAAAAAGGGCCGGCCGAACCTCTGTCGATGATGACGAGCGTTCTGGACGACCATCTTCGAGCACAACGCCCGAAAATGTTACCAAGATTCGGCAGGCCATTCACGAAGAGCGACGTCGTACCATCAACGACTTGTGCGACATTGTTGCGTGAAGATGTGAGACGGAAGCGGCTGGCAAAGTGGCGCAACCACAACTGGCTGCTGCATCATGACAACGCGCCAGCGCACACCGCCCTCAAAGTTCGGCAGTTTTTGGCCTCAAACACCATGGCCGTCATCCCGCACCCTCCTTATCCGCCGTGTGACTTCTTCCTCTTCCCAAAGATGAAAATTCAGCTAAAGGGAAGGAGATTTGAGACGATAGAAGAGATTCAGACAGAATCGCAGATGGTGCTTGACAGGCTGACAAAGAAAGATTTCCAGGGATGCTTCCGTACATTGCTGAATAGGAAGGTATGGTAAAGGTCGTTTTCAAGCTGATGCTGCATTTTCCTCTCCATGTACTGAGATGCTGGCCAGTAAATCATGTCTTTCAGATCACATGATAGCATGCAAGAACATGATCTGATTGGAGGGTATACCTGTGCTCAGAAAATGTTCTAAGTTCAGATACTTTTAGTTAATTGCAGTGGCTGCTGAATGTTATTTCCATCATTTGGGAACATAATTTCAAACTATTGCAACATTCTCCAACACATAGAAGTTGCCCTGACATGATTTCTAAATGATATGAAATTACGTCTGTAAGGGGCTCAAAGTGCGTGCGATAGAGAGATTTCTGCAGACTTTCTGTTTCAATTTTTGAATGATAAAAATTACATTTCAGATGTGGGAATATGACAGCCATAGTCATCTGTTATTTGTTAATTGAATTAATGCATTAAATAGAGCCCATAATTGAATTGTTCACATTGTGTTTGGTGCACTCTCCTGTTCAAAATATGTTCAACATTTTTGTTGGTCTCTGTTCCTACTGGTAACAGATTTTGTTTCTGATCTGGAGCTTCAAAGCAACTAAATATAATAAATTATTTTTAACCTTTGAACAACCTGACACAGCTGGTAGCCCAAGAATAATTTATTGCATGTGGCTTCATATTATATTTTTACAGTAACATTCTTCGTCTTCCGGTGGCTCTATTACCCAGTGTGGGTCTTCACTGCCTCCTTTCAGAGGTTTCTTAGTCTTTTAAGTGTGTATTTGTGGGTAGTAAGTGACCAGCCCACTACCTCTGCACAATTTCTACTCAGGCCTGATTTTGTCTGCTAGAGAATCAGGAGAGACGTAGGTGAGAAGTGGTCGCTGAATTTTGCTTACGAAACATCTCGTTCGTTCTTTTACACGCCGTAAGTCTAGGACATGGGACAGCTGGATTTACTTCCCCACTGAAGAAAATAGTGCTACGGATTTTTATCACCCTTAAAAATTCATCGACCTTGGCTGGGTTTTAACCTGCGAACCTTGGATCCAGTGGTGAGCACACTAACCACCAGTCCACTGAGGGCAACTTTACAGTAACTTTAAGACATTTTATTTCTTGGGTAAAAGTTAATCCAGATACTACTGAGAAATTTATGGTTGACAAATGAATTACATGCTTATAGCACAAGACTTTGTGTGTGTTAAACATGATTAACTGCATGCTGGAAGCCTACTTGTGTAATCAGAGAAGTAAATGAAGTTATGGTACTTGGAACAGTTAACGAGCATGGATATGTAAACATAGCAAAAGCTTCCATACTTAGGTGATGTCTGGAATAAACCATTCATTAAGCAGTATCTTCTGAAGTGTTTATTTTTGACTGCCTAGCCCTGTGTTATTTGTTACTTTTTATTGTCAATATTCTGCAGAGACAAATGCATATCAGTTGAAGAATGTCCCTGTGTAACATTTCGTAATGAGTTATTGTTTTTACGGTGAGGGGTTATTAGCTCAACACCTAACCTCCAAACTAGAGGATCACCCCACCACTCCTTGCTGGTTGTCCACATATTCATAGCTACGCTCCATATCTGGAGGCCTTCTCCATCCGCAACTTGAGGCCATGCCATGGTGACAAGGTACCCACAATACATGGTCTGCTATCAGCAGCTGAATGAATATTAACTGTGTTGAAGAATATGTCCTAGGACTGGAGTAATGTGGTATGTGCACACACCTGGATATGTTTGAAAATGGGGTTGTCATATTTTGCAAATTCTGTCCCACATAGAGCAGAAACATCTATACGTGTTTATCTTAATGGGATGTCTCCTGTTTCCCTATTTTTGGACCTGGATTTCAAGTTTTAAACTTGTTAGTCTTGTTCTCTGCATCCCAAAACACCTCTTAGTGAAGCATCCGCAATTTGTATTTACATCTTCAGGCCTACCCCTTGATGTATGATACAACATTTTTGCAGTCTAAATTGCAGTAATGACTAAAGTAGCTTAAAAGGAGTGAGGAGGTTTCCATGCTCTTTTGACAAAAAGAGCTTGTCGGAGTATAAAGCTCTTTGCAGGAAATAAAGATAGGTAGGAGCTGATGAATTGTAATCCACGCTTTGCTCTTCCAGTAACTGGATTTTAAAGTTAGTAACCTGGATTGAAGATTGCCATGATGTACGAGGCTCGTCCACAAAGTAAGTTTCCCTGGGGCCGTTTACAGAAACAAAACACAATTTCATGGAAATATTTATTGCAACAGATACAGCAAGTGTCCAGCTATTTTTCAACAGATTCGCCACCGGAATTGAGACATTTGTCATACCGTGGGACCAACTTTGGAATACCTGTGTCGTAGAAGTCTGCCGCCTGGGATTGGAACCACTGTGTGACAACCATCTCTGCCTCTCTGTCATTCTCAAAACGCTGACGCTGACCGGACAGGAATTTCTTGAGGTGTAGGAAAAGATGGAAATGACTGGGAGCGAGGTCCGGGCTGTAGGGTGAATGATCAAACACCTCCCAGCTGAACTCCTGCAGGAGACTCGCTGTCCGTCATTGCTCTATCACGTACGCACAGTCGCTTCGCGCAATATAAGGTTTGCTAGCTGTGGGACGAGTGGGAAACTTACTTTGTGGACGCGCCTCGTACAATAGTATTCAGACAAAGCATATATTAGGAAGTGGTCTGTTTCTGCCTTAAATCCTCTTAAGCACCTTTATCTCCACTGCACAAGGCTATATTTTCTCACTGGCTGTGATACAATCCATAATGGCTTTACTGCTTCTTTCTCGGGGTGAATGGATGTAGGTTGTATAACTCTGAACATGATAAATCCCAAGTGTAACTTTGCCATGGTGCCAAGAAATTTTGTCATGGTATCTAGTATTTTCAAGAATAATCATGTTCGGTTTGTGTCTGTTCATTCTCATTTGAAAATTCTAACTCAAAAATTATCTTGGGCAGTGGGCATTTGTGTGATAGTACATATTACAGTAAATGGTAAGCACATAGTTCATTTGCAATGCCATAGGTGGCATTTGTGTGCTGATCAGGAAGTGCAGACCAATCTATATCTGTGTTATGCAGTGAACTTGCAGAAGGTGAACTTTGACTTGTGGTTAAAATATTAGTTTCTTTGTTGTGGTTTTAATAGTTTGTTAGCAGATGAATAAAATGTGCAATAACAGCTGGGAGACGAGAAAACTACATAAATGCGGATAATGAGTTTCTTTGCTTAGTGAGATTTGAGGTTCTCATGGCAGCAAGTGTGAAGATGTGTGTCTTCTGGGTTGTTGTGCCATTTAGCTAGTAGGGGTTTACTGATCTTTCAGAACTACTTCCTGCCTCCATCATCAAAGTCTGATTTTCCCCACAGATGTTAAAATGATGTGCTCTGTTACAAATATAATTGTCTACATGTGTATTGAAATAAGCTCAAAAAATTAGTTATTATGTTATGTAAAATGGTTGTTGAAAGTGTTCAATCAAGATTAAAATGTAAAATTACCCAATACCATACATACTTAATGAATATAGGTCTAACCATTCTCAAGTTATTAACATGCACAGGCAGAGTGATTTTAAGAAGTACTCTGCACGGTTGCCTAAAACGATAATTCACATAGAATTCCTTTTGTTGGCATTAAAATATATAAAAACACTGAGGACAAAAAATTGCATACCTCTTAAATTTTTTGGGCTGGCTTGTAGTCCAAACAAACTCTTGTCATGCCCTGCAACTACATAGATCAGAAATTCTATGAGGACAGTTGCAGTACTCATGAAAACAGAACTTCATAAGTAGTTTATTTTTCTTACTTCCATTCTATCATGTCATATGGAATCATTTTATGGGGAAATCAACAGACAGCAAGAAAGAATTTTACATTCAAAAGAGGATCATTAGAATAAAGACAGGCACTAAAAGGATAGACTCTTGTAGGGAATTATTTGAGAAGTTTAATATTCTTCAACTACCCAGTGATTTCTTGCTCTCACTAATATCATTTGTATTGGATAACATGGAAAAATTTCAAACAAATACAAACATTCACAGCATAAGAACAAGATACAAATACAACCTTCATTTGCCGATTTCTAACCTCAGTGAATATCAAAAAGGAGTTTACTATACTGAAATTAAGTTATTCAATAATCGTCCACCTACTATAAATAGAAAGTTTAAAATATGATATAAAAATGTTGAAGCCAGCGTTAAAAGAGTATCTCCTATCTCACTCCTTCTACTCAGTATAAGAATTTATAAATACATGTAAGTAACAATGTTGATGGTTTCTCATCATAATTATTTTGCTGTAATACTGTAGTTCCAAAAATCTGTAAATAGCTGTTATAACGTTACATTTATATTTGTACTAGAAACAAGTTTTGTATTTGTGCTATGACCTATTCTACATCCTTGGCTGAGGCCTATGAAGGATCTATGAAATGTAAATAAATTCTATTCTATTCTACGATGTTTGATATTGTACTTTCTCCAGTGGGTCCAGTTAGTTAAGCATTTAGTTGACATCAAACTATTGAATTCAGGTCTCATTATATAATCATTGTCTGCCACACCTGCCAACAATAAACAGCGCGACTTTCCTGTTGTAAATTTCAGTGAAACGATACTGTCGCCAATTCATGCATACTCGCCGTGATTTTTCCAAGGACTTGATTCAGTTTCTCTATATTCCTTGTTTAGCTTGTTAGCCAGTCTTTGGGCCTAGATTTGAAACTAGCACTTACTGATACGAAGAAAGAATGTTAACCACTCAACCGTGATGTTCAGTGAATACACCTGCAATAGGTGTACTTCGTAACCATTTAATACATTCGACTGTTTGATAACATATAATAGGACGTCTCTCTTATATCACTTTCAAGACCTTGTGTTTACATTCCATATTTCCGTAAGTTGGCAACAAACCGAAATAGTTGGACTAATATGTATCGGAAAGTTGCGGTTTGTCAGAAAACAGTATAACTATAAATTACAAATGTAGGCCATATAGTAATATATTGTCTTCCGAAATAATATGTGAATTGATTTACTAGACGTTAATTTGTTGTTTTCAACCAAATCACATACTGGACTTCTTATATGTTCAAAATATTTCTAAGTCGGAGCACCAATCGATTTATTAGATAGCTGTATTTCGATTGTGCCCATTCATACCATACGCGAGGACATTAACCTGCAGACAGATGTAAAGTCACAGATGAACCACAGACATGGGAAAAGCCCTGCAATGGTAAGGGCTACCGCACACGTAAGACAAACAGTCAGACGATTGTTTCGTCGTTCGCACAAAGCCCTTAAGAACATATAGAGATGCGCACACTGTTACGACACGACAGCGACACGACTGGCAGTCGGTTACCTCTTACGACAACCCCGGACATTTCTGTCTACCAACTGTCGTTGGCCCTTCGAATTATATGAAAGCGCGCAGACGAACGGCCTTTCATTTCGTGTGAGCATTTGCAGACAGTAGACGATTGTCAAACGTGGATTTTGTTGAAACTGCTATAGTATGTGCACTTGTGATACGCCTCAATAAAAGGAGGAAAAGGAATTACTGGGTGCATCCATTATACAGGGAGAGACTGTTCAAAGGAAAATTTCATACTATGTATGAAACATTACGGAATTATCCTGCAAAATTCTTTTCATATTTTCGCATGAGTACACAAAGTTTTGATGAACTTCTATTATTGCTGAGACCGAGTATAACCTATCAAGATACGGATATGCGTCTCGCTATTTTACCTGAAGAAAGACTGGCAGTGACACTAAGGTAAGTTAATAAATAAAATCAACTTTACATTAATTATTCTTATTTTCCTTATTTTTAAAGAAAGAAACTTAGATACAATGTGAAGTTATGCCTTGCTGCAGACAAATAACCTAGGCAGACAGCCTAGTATCTAAAGGTCTAATATGTCAGAATCACAAGAGAAATTGGAATAATATGTTTGGACTGTGTCATTTGAATTTGGAGAACTGAAATCAGGATGCACTAGAGTAGATGAGCAACGTCGTTGTATTTCTTCGCAGTTGACTGAGGTTGTTTCCGCAGCTTGCGGCCAAATAAAGGCATTCCTTTAACCCAGATGGCCCAGCTGCATTCCACGTGAAAGGGGGGATTGTCCTGCTCTTAAGTTTTTAATCACGCTCAAAATTCTTATCTTCGCCTAGCTTTTTGAGCGAAGGAACTAAGGAAAGTGCGAAGTGGACGTTTTCGTCGTCAGTATTTCTTGAACTCAAATTGTTGAGTAAAGATTCCTCGAAAGGCTTCTGCTTGTTTCTTTTTTCTTCCGTGAAAGATTTTGCTCTGTTTTCAGCCTCGTTTACGTGGTCGATTCCCTCTTCTTTATCGCCATCGTCATCTGATATTACATTTGTTTCCGTTGTGGGAAGTAAAAATAACAATTTTTCAAAATATATATATTTCCTCCTCTTCGATGCTGATTGGCCGGACTTGGTCTGTTCCTGGGCGCGAAGCTCTCTGCTAAAACATGATCTTAAATTCTGCCACTTCTTTTGTATGTCTCGACCTAGAAATAGTGACAATATTTTATATAATATAAGTTTATAATACGACCCTACTATTATATGCTATGTTGTGTGATTTTATGTTACGTTGTACGTGTAGGTCTATTATGTTCTGTGATGTGATAGTACGAGGCGCGTCCTCAAAGTAAGTTTCAGATGTCAGCATCGGTTTCTGCGACTGCATAATTAAGGCATGTTGTGTACTTCATAATTTTGTTCGCTGTAAGGACGGCACACGTTTTGTTGATACTGTACAGGATATACACAAAAGAATGGCGCGGTTTCAAAAGTTAGTAAAAAAAAATATTTCTCACCTGACCGTGTATGTTGTGCCCCTGTAAGATGAGAAATAAATTTTGTTATTAACTTTTGAAACCGCGCCATTCTTTTGTGTATACCCTGTATATGAGTGTCCTCTCGAAAGTTAGGAGTTTCTTGTCGAAGTTTTTCATTTCACTTCAAGGATCAATACCAAAGCATTACGAAAAAATGTGATAGGCAGGTCGTGTGAAGACAATAAACATTTTACCAAGAATGACAGATTTGGTGCCATATAAGATGAAACAACATTTAATTTGGAATAAAATAAAAATTATCAAGCAAATCGGTCTACACTATAAGTAAAAATTTAAATTGTTAAAATGTAATTGTTGAAATTAAATAAAAAAACAAATAAACTAACCTGTTTCAGTCTTTTTTTCGGGTGACAATTCGCTCCAACCTGGTACCACAACTGAACAAATCTCTTGCCAAAGTTCTCTTTTAACATTGATGTTTGCATAATCTTTTATTGTTTTGTCATAAAGAGTAGGGCGTCTTTCGACCTCTTCAATTAATTCTTCGATATTCTCTTCTTGCAACATTCCTGACTTCTGTACTCGGCGAGGATAGAGCGAAGAACGTGGAACAAAAGAGAACAAGAGAACGACTGTTTAGACGTACGTGTGCGCTTGCTCGTGGACTGAACTGTCGTGTCGTTTATTGATCGTATGCTTCAGCCGACCACGACAGAAATCTTGCGCATGCGCGAATATCGAATTCCTAGCACGGATTTTCTCCTCGTCTGTGGACTGTGCGTGTGTGTGTGTAGTACATTTAATCTCAGTTTCATTATATTCCATTTTATTTTATTTATTCTTTGTAGTGTTTACACAATATTGTTTGATTCTTGAGATATGTAGATCATGAGGATACCTGGGTGAAAGTAGCTATGTGTGCCCTTCACTACAAATATATCTTTCAACCTATACTATGATTGAAATCGGTATTGAATTCTGTAGGTAGCACACATTGTGTGTGCATTTAAATGACTTATATTTTTTTTATGTTTAGCTGTAATGACAGGCATACATGAACATCGTCATATTAGTACTATATTGCTCATATGCATTATTCAGAGCACAACTATTTTCCTTGATTTTTGAGATATCTAACACAATTTTATAATTTATTTTTAATTTTACAGCAGAACATGGGTATAATCAAAATGGAAAATGATGTTGATGTTCAAAGTGAAAAAGAGTCAATTGGCATGGTATCTGATGAGGTTCATCTACAATCAACACTTTCAATAAAAGAAGATGAAATTGAGGTAAGCCCTCCTTTCAGATGAGTTTTTTTTCTGTCCATTATTACACATGCCTGAGTGTTTGTTTTTACTGTATGAGTTATTATTATCTGTGAAACAGTTATAAAGAAAGAACATTGCTGCACCTTTATAACCTAACTCTGATTTGCTCCTGTAGTGCTCCAGGCCTTTAACAGTAATAGCAAATTGAAGTCTGAATTGGGTAGTGTACATATGTATATATATTCGTTATTTTAATTTGTAATACAAAGTAACATAGACACCTTTTTCAGGCTTGTAGAATAACTGTGCCCCAGTAATTGTAAATAAATACTAAATATTCAAAGATGGTACAAATTAATTATAATGCATTTGTTCATATTGATATCTTGTTTCAAAGCATGTGTTCATGTGTGTGAGAGAGAGACATTAACTATACCAATAATTGTGTTCATCTGGAAATGTTTATAAGTGAGAATTTCTTTCCATTAACCCTTTAATTTGCTTTACATCTTTTTTAGATTGATTTTCATATTATGTTTCCACTTACAATTCTTATGATAAATCTGTTTTGATAGAATCTTATATTTTGTGTGAAGTTTTTATTATAAATTACAAACCTGCCCATTTTATTATTTGTTTTGTTACTTTAACAGCACAAGCTAAGGTAAACGTGTCTGTTCTTACAAACTATTTGGTAATGTACACTGTAATGGTATTGAAGTGGTAGTTTGTTTATTGGGTTATAATATATGTTCCTGTGTACAATGAATTACTACCACACCATTGTTACTTGTTAAAATTGGTTAAAAAGGTTACATGCAACAGTTGGTGTAAGTGAAAAATATATTTCCAATTCCATACTCATATTACATGTCTGTTACTGTTAATGTCCACTGAACTCCAAACATCTGTGGCTTTGTTGTGTCTTCGAGTTAAGGCTGGATGCTCCATGTTGTTGGGTTGGCACGGTTCCTCCTAAGTAGATATGTTTACTGCATTTTGTGATTTTGCTTCTTGCTGTGTGTTCCGTTGATACAATCTTCTGTGATAATAGATGTCTGTGGAGTAAATGAGATCTGCAAAGATATATGTAAAAAATAATTCATATATATTTAAATCTCTGTAAGAATTATGTTGTGCATTAACACTTACAGTTGGTGTTGTGGGTTTCATATGTCATCTATTGTGGGGAAGTGTACTGCGTTGTGTATCATGGCATATTGTCATGCTGTATGTCCTAGGTACAAGGGGAGTTTGAAATATAATCGTATTGGCAACACTGCTCATCTTCAGTTGCCTTCATCGAGATGGCACTTGTTCTGTTTTGTTTAGCTATTAATACAAATATTGTCATTTTCCAAATCGTGTGTGTCTGTGAAAGCTCTTGTAGAAAATACCTGTTTTGCAGTGGTGGAACAGAATGGCATTTCATATGATTTAAGGCAGAGATGTGCAATAGAATTGTGTGTGAAGCTCGGAAAAAGTGGTGAAGAGACGTTAAAGGTGTTACAGAAAGAATGAGCCGAGCTAGAATGTTTCAGTGGTTGAACCATTTTAAAGATGGATACAAAAGGGTGGTTGAAGGCGATCAAAGTGGGAGACGAAGCACCATCATCTGGAAAAGTGATGCTGATATTGTTTTCTGACTCAAAGGGCATTATTCTTCACCACTGCCTACCTCAGAAGCTATGTGTGAGTGGTGTTTACTATGCAAATACACTTAAAATTCATTTGGGGAACATAATTCAGAAAGAAGTGACCGGAATTCACAACGTAAAGGTGGTGTCTGCTTCAAGACAATGCATGACCACAAACCTTCGGGTTCTGTATATGCACCTTGACTGCCTGAGGACTAGTACGTTCAGCAGACTTAGTTCAGTAAAGAAATAAAACAGTCCATTTTAAATGTTTAATTTCTTTAGTTCTCCTTCAGGCTGTTGGTACAGCACATGCAGTAACACAGTTGTAATCTAATTGTTTCAGTTTAGATATACAGGTGAGTCAGAAGTATGTTTTCAAACTTCGTGTGCGTATTCCAGGATCAAAAGTAAGAATAAATGTTCCTATGAGCATGTTGTCACAAATGTTTCATTTTCGAAATAATAGCCAAAAATAAGATTCAATGAATTCACTTTATTTTAAAGTGAATCCAGCTTCCATGAAAGATTTTCAATGTACGTTTGGGCAGGAATTGTTGGCTACATGCTTATTGGTCCACACATGCTTCCATCGCGTCTAAGGGGACCTTCATATCGGTGATTCTTAAGAAGACACTTGCCACGTCTCCTTGAAGATGTACCACTGAATACAAGAAGACAAATGTGGTTTATGCATGACAGAGCCCCAGCACAGTTCTCCCATTGCATCAGATATCTCAATGAACAATACCCTCAGTGATGAATTGGGAATGGTGGCCCAGTAGCATGGCAACTGAGGTCACAAGTCCATTGGACTTTTATCTGTGGGTTGACTTGAAGTCCGTCGTTTATGCAACTTCCATAAACAATGACGACAACCCGTGGGAACCTGTGAAGATTGCACGCCAGATGATTCTAGAAAACCATGGTGTGTACGACCGAAACCGTCAGTTTTGTGTATGTCATGCTCGGGCATCTGTTACAACGAAACATCCCTGTCCTTATACTTGGCAATAAAGGCATACATTGAAAATGAAACATTTGTGACCTCGTGTTCATAGGAATATTTGTTCTGATTTTTGATCCTGGAATACGCACACAAAGTTTGTAAACATACTTCTAACACACCTGTATATAGACGCTCTTTTATGATGATTACTATAATTATCAGCTCCTCCAAGTTACCTGTCACCCAAAAAGGTTATCGATCCTTGCTCTCTCCTGTCTAATTGTGTTTTGATTACATTTTACATTGAAATTGTAAGTTGACAAAACATGTTTATGATTGGTATCAGGTATGGAGGTTTTGCATAACTTAATTTTACCTAAAGTTGTACCTGGTTCATAGAATGAGACTTGTGTAATGTCTTCTTTTTGCAGATCATGAATATAAAACTTGAGGATTTTGCAGATACACATGAAGAGGAGGATCCTCTAGGAGAACTTCCATTAATAAAGTCTGAACATGAGGTGAGTTTCACATTTTTATGCACTTTTAAGAAATACGTAGGATTACGTGTTTTGTGTCTCTTGTCAATCTCCACATGAAGGAATTCCACTCTGTTGAATGGATTTTGAAATGTCCTTTGAATAATGGTGCCAGAGGACTGAATTTTCTTGGGCACTATTTATGAAATACCATTTTAATTATGTGTTGCATCAGTTTTAAAACATATGAAATTAAACATTGACCAAACTGAGAAATATTTTAGACAAATATAGCCCATAAATCTTGTATAATTTGTGGGCTTTGTATTGAAAATACTGCGTGCTATTGAATTTCTTATACAATTCACAGGAACTATGAATGTTCTAAGATTATCTTTTATTTCTTTTGTAAGTTGATGCAAATTGTACTCATATATTAGAACAGTGTTGTCATTTCTGTTAAGCATCATTAACTCTTTCCATATGGAAAGCTAAAATTGAGTGTGTAATAATAA